GATAGAATTTTTTGAAAATTTGTGATTTTTTTTTTAATCCATGATCGATTTTTTTGAAAATTTGTTATTTTTTTTTTTTAATTCATATTATTCAAAGAGAAAATGAGAGAGATGATGATTCTGAGGCCACCCTATCCCAACCATATTCTTCATATATCGAGTCCCAACAGCAACAGTGTAGGGATGAACACGAAATACTGTAAATTAAATGCTGAATGGCGGTTCATGCAGGGAAAAAACATATCAATATTCGCATATTCATTCAAAAACATGAAAATTCTTAATGAAGTACCCTTATTTTTTATTGAATTCCTAAAAAACAATATTTATAATGAACATGAATATTTTTTTCGAATTTTTTTTAAGCTTTATTCTGACCGATTCACCCGATTCCCCATCGAGATTGCCGATCCGGATAGGTTTTTTAAAAGCCCGATCCGGGTCACCGATCCGTTTGTTAAACCATTGTATATAACTTATATAGAGCGGAAGAAGTATAGAAAGCCTTCCTTAAGCACACAAAACTGTTCAGACCAAGGTTTTAATCGGAGGACAACCGGATTACCCATGGAACTGTGTAGTGTTTTAAGAATTTGGTACGGGTGGGTCGAATTGGTAGTGCGCAATAGGAAAAATTAAAAAACACAGTAAAATTAGAAGTTGAGAAAAGAAGTTGAGAAATTACCTAGGACTTGGTTTCTATGCGGCCAAGCCCCCATAGGTAGAAATGCGGGTGTCTTAATAAATCCATTTTTGAAATGGATTTGAAGACTTAATTTTTAAGGACATATAATCTCTAATATGGAAGTCATGAATATGAAAAATAAATAATTATTAAAAACTTAAAATAATAATTCTAGTAAGAAAATATTTGGACAGTTAAGTCTCTATTGTTTTTAGATAGAAAACCTCCTTGCATCTATCTTAAAGATGGATGCTTTATATTGTTTTACACTTTCTGGACTGCATATGTAGAAATGCGAGTCTGTATGAAACGACTTTTCTAATCATATATAAAAAGGTAGAAATCAAATCAAAATAAATTAAAGAATAATCTAGGGAAAAAATGGGGAAAAATCGCTGCAAAAGAAAAAAGTCCGGGGCTTGGTTGTCTAGTTTTTGTTTATAGTTGTGTGATTGAAGTTTTGTTTTTCTTTCGTGACTTGCTTTGATTACTTCTTCTTAAAAGTGTTGAGCGCACTACCACCTAAGTGGCATTCACTACCTTTGTCGCGGTCCCCCGTCCTGTTGCCCTCCGACAAATACGGTAGGACAGTAGGAGACGGAGTCGTGACAGTTTAAACTTTTTGGTTTTGATTCAAGAGCTTTTGAGCCTTTGTAGATTAGGAACATTCTGGGAGCTTTTGTAGATTAGCAACATTCAGCGATGAATTTGAATAATTTGTTCCGAAAATGAAAGAGAAGGAAGGTTTTGGATTTCGCGTTAAAAAACTCTTAAAACTTTGGAAACTCGATTTCCGCTATATGATTGGACTACTTGTTTTTAGGAGTCTTTTAGAGGGTTCAATTACCAACAATTTTAAATGATTTTTAAGTTTTGTTGATATTTGTAGGAGAACAAATCATGGATTAAGGTTTTCGGACTAAAAAATCGAAATTTGGGCTTTTTGTTTTTTTTTTGACATTTTGATTCGACAAATTGTTATAATGGTTTGAAAACAATCCCAAAGGCAAACAAATTGAAAATAAATTCAAAGCATTTAGTTGAGAAAATCGGGAGAAATAAATGAAATAGTGGATTGAGCTGTCTAAGGGTACAAATGAGAGTTTCTCATCTCTCGATCTTGCCAAAAATATGTTTTGATACGAAAATGTTCTTAGGGCTATTGAAACGAACAATTTGCAATAATTTTAAGAGGATATGGTGCTATTGTAAATTAACTAGAGATGAACGATTTGAGAGGATCTGGTGAAGAAATGAGAGAGTTTTGACATAATTTCCACATTCTGATTTTGTAGTAAAAATAAAAAAATAAAAAGTTAACAAGCCCAACCCCAATTCCAATGGGTCTTCAAGCTTGGTTCTCCACCGGTCGTAGATCAACTAGGGCGGATCCGAGTGTGGGGGTGATTTTTGGAACCCTGGAACTAGAATTTGGCTCAGGTTGTATAGAAGGGTGCAGTTTATGTAAGGCACCGCGTTAAATAGTCAAAGTAAGCACCTACAAATGTTACCAAAAAAAGCAATTACACGGTGTTAAACACCCTTAGACCTGAAATTCTATTTCCACTGAAATTCCTATCAAGTATTTTGACTTAAACAAGTTATTTTCTCTATAATAGGTGTAATAGAATAACCCAGTTAAGGCGTATTTTATTTCCCATAATAGGTCTCATTCTTTTAACCTTCTTAGGGACCGGGAATTGATGACTATTCATTGCTATTATCTAGATACCAAATAAGAGTTCGATCCAATGCTTTATTGCCATCGTAGTTGATCTTGATTCGACATTAAAAATATTGCCAAAAGGTGTTGCGACAAGGCTGGTCGGAGCCTGGGCTAAGTCTGCGACAAGGCCGGCCCAAGCCTGGGCGAAGTCTGCGACAAGGCTTGCCCGACCCAATTTCTTGTTTCTTATCTTATTAGTTACGTTTCTTTTACTTTTATTGTATTATCACCCGACCCTACTTGGCCGTGACAAGGCTTGGGACATGGCTTCTTCGGCCTTGTTAGATCTAGGCTAGGCTTGGTTGCCCGAGTGAATCACTTTAAAAAAGCTAACTCCTAATCTACTTGAAAAAAACGGGTAGGGGTTGTCTTCCCCACTGAATCCTCCCCTCCCTCCCTCCCTCCCCCCAAAAAAAAAAAAAACTATTTATGACTTGAAATCCTTTATTCATATCTATACATATCGAGGTCAAGGAGATCAAATAAAAGAACAAAAAGGGTTTTTGAAGCACATTTACTTCTAACGTATAAGTTCCAAAGCAACAAAACTTCATATGAACTCACTTCTTTGTGTGGATTATGCACATTGATATCTTGAATGGTGTAGGCTTTATTTGGGTATGGTAATTAATTCTGATTTGTGGATATGGAGTTTCACTTTATAAATGGAAAGTAAAAGTGCGTGAATGTTTTGAAGGTAATGCTTGAACCAATTTGGGGATTCAAGTATTACACTGTCCCTCTCAAGTTTGGTGAGATTTTTCTTTTAGCCAAGGATGGTAAGCTTAGGATGCATATAAGGTGCTCCCACAAAAGCACATTCTACACTTCTTCCTTGCCCTAAATATCTAATAACATGTGAAGATTTATAATGTGCTACTAAAAACCTTCATTGGTTTAT